AAATCTTTATTAAAATAATTTTAATAGTATTAAAGATAGAGGATATGTAAATTAATTTTTATATACAGTAATCATGATAACAAAAAATTTTTTTTATAATTAAAGAAAATTTTATTAATTAAGTTATTTTAAAATTTATAATAAAATTTGTAGAATAGATTCTTCTAATTCTAATGGTAATAAAATTATTAAAATTGGTTAGATATTTGCTAAGAAATATATATTTAAAGATTGAGTATTAATTTTTTGTTTTCAAAAATTATATGATGATTATATGATATAACTAATCAAACTTAATAATTTTGTATAATTTTAGCAAATTTAAGATCACTATAGCAATTTTATGATACAGTATATATTAAAATAATTTGGTTATTAAAATTTATATCATTAAAAAAGCATATTTTAATTTATAAAATTATAAAATTTTAATAAAAATTAATTAAATTTTTAAAAATTTTTATCGGTAATGTATTCTTATATCTATATAAAGTCTTAATTTACTATGCATATTATATAAAAAATGATCTACAATATTCTCTACCTATAAACTATTAAAAACTATTATACTTTCAAATAGATCTATTAGTTTTAATTAATAATCTTCTAGTAAACTGAAGAATTATCTTAGTATAACATAATATGATTCTATATATAAATCTCTTAAAATAGAAATATAGCATTTATCTAAAAAAAACTTTTTCTTACTAAATAAATTATTTTTAGATTTCTAATAAAAGTTGTAAAGCTCATCAAGATGTATTTAATAGTAATAAGAACATTAAAATTGGCTTGATAGTTTTTGAAAAATCTTTAAAAAACTTTTTACCAACTATATAAAATCTTTTTAAAAAAATCGATTTTTTTTAAAGAAATTTTATATTGTTATAAAGTAGATTTTTAAAGTAGATTTTATTAATATTATCTTAGTTATTTTTAGTTATTATTATCCTATATATTTGTATTTTTATATAATTAAAATATTAGTTAAATTTATTATATTATTATATATTAGTTTTATATATATTTAGATAATATATTATATAACAATTATATAAAAGCATTTTAATTGGCTATTGAAACTGTGGTGTAGTCACATGATCTATATAATCTGAGATAATATAAGGTTATACAAAGAAGTATTTCAAGTTATACAAAAAGATAATACAAGAAAGTAAGTTTTTCCAAGTTTCTTTATATAGAATTTTTTAAATTCCTCTATACAAAATCTAAGTATTTTGAATATAAAATTTTTCAAGTTTCTCTTCTTCAAATTCTTCTTCACAAATAACAAATAAATATAAACAAAATGAGTAATATTTATATTTTTTCAACTTCACCCAATACAATCCTCCAACTTTCTCTAGTACAATTCTCTAACTTCTTCTACTAAATATTATTTATTTACTGCGCATTATGTATTCTTTTTTGGAAAAAAAGATATATAAAAGATGTCTTTTTCCCTTTCTGCTAACTCTAAGTTTCTATACTTTACTTTAAATTCTGTTCTTTTTATATTCTTCTTATCTTTCAAAGTTGATATTCTCTCTCTAAAATAATTCTTACAGGCAAGATTATTATTATATTCTTGTATAAAATAAAGTCATTCTATATACTATTACTATCTCGAACCATTTGCTTTCTGCTGTATAGTTAAGTGAACAACTATACTTTTATTTTATATATATTTGTAAAAGTCAATTACTGTATTAGATAATCTTGTTATATAGCTGTATTGGTTTAAGAAAGCTACAGCTTTGTAACAATATGTTAACAAAATATTTTTTAAAGATTTTTCAAAAACTACAAAGCCAATTTTAATGTTTTTACTACAATTAAATATATCTTGATAAGCTCTACAATTTTTGTTAGAAGCTCAAAAGCAATTTACTTAGTAAAAAAAGGTTTCTTTAGACAAATACTATATTTTTTAAAAAAATCTCTATATTTCTATCTATATAATTTATATATAAAACTGTGTTACATTATATTATAATAATTCTTCAGTTTACTGGAGAATCATCAATTAAGTATTCTGTAAAGTTTATTTATATAATAAATAATTTTTTAAAATATTTATTATATATATATTAATACTTATAATAAGATTATACAGACTTAATAAATTGATTCTTATAATCCAACCAGATTAAATTTTACAAAACTTTATAATTATTATCATAATTTTTAGAACACCTGCTTATTATCCAAAATCTTTGGTAAATTAACCAACTTTTTAAAAACTATATTACTATTTTTGAACCTTCAGTTCAGAATAGTAATATAATTTTCAGAGAGTTAATTAATTTATCAAATAAGAGATGTGACAAAAATCAGGAGATTTTTTAGAAAGGAAAAGGGGTAAAAAAATTAAAAATAATATATAAGAATCTGATTTTTTTTTATATTAAGAGGGGGAGAAGGAATAAGTCTCTGATAAAAAATAATCAGGTGATAAATAACACTGCCCTAATCAAAAAGATTTTAGATAATAAGCAAATATCCCCAAAAACTTTTTCTAATAATCCTCTGGACAATGCAACAAAAACTGAACTACAGAAAAACACTATAGAAATTCTAAGATAAATCTATTTTCAGTCTTGTCTTTAAGTAAACAGTTGTCAACAAAATCTAAAGATGTGAAATATCAAGAAGCAGGTATAATTTGGGTGGTTTTTCTTGAAATCAAACTTTTGTTTTTGGTAGACTCCTCAAGATATTTGGCATCTAAACCAGAAGGTTTATTCTGAGAACTAAACTTACTTTTAAACAGGTTGCTATTGACAAAACTTAAAAGATGTAAAATACTAAGGAGCAGATGTAATTTAAGTAGTTTTTCTTGGAGTTAAGTTTTCTTGTATCAGTGAATTCTCCAAGATATTCAGCATTCAAACTAAAAGATGCATTCTAGAAGCAAGAAGTAGAAAGACTCTTGTTGAGATAATATTATCTTAAAGAATAAATTATACAACTATAAAACCTACAGAAGAACTTTATATATTTTTATTGGCCTTCTACTTTTTTTTTAGAAAAAATTTTGTAAAAAGTAAACGATTTAGTTTATTTTCCTAAAAGATTAATATATTGTTTATTTACCAAATCAGATAGCATTATTTATTTTTTTATCTGTTATAACAAATATATAAAAATATAAAATATGGACTGTAAATTACGTGTCTTGAATATAGTAATCTAGAAAACAATACTTCAAGCCCAATAGTACTAATTTCTGACCTCTTTATAATGCTAGTATCAAAGAAGCTAATTTTTTCTTTAGTAAGTTTTTTGCTTATATATATTAATTATATAAATTAATATAGAGAATAGTTTAAATAGTAATATACAATTTTTATAAAATCTGACACAGGCTTATAATCATAACTATCTAGTATGGGTGAAAAATCTCATATTTAGTTTAGTTTTTTTTGTAATTTCTTTTTTTTTTATTTCTTGATTGTTTTTTTTTACGTATTTCTCTATATCTCTGTGTTCTTTTATAAAATTTTTTCTTTTTTTCACTTCTCTATAAGAAAATATTATATTAATAATATTCTATTGTAAAATGATAATCAAATGAGCCTCCAGTAGGATATTATCTTAATTAATCATATCTTTTTGATGCAATATGATTATATATAGACATTCTGTTAGTAGTTAACTTTCTGTGAAGTAGCTGTATAATATCAGATCTTAACTTTAATATTATATATTCTTTATAGAGTTTGACTTGATTAAATAAAAATACTGGTATGATTTGCCTAAGTAAAAAAAAAAAATTAAGCAAATATTTCAGAAATTATAATAAGAAAATTACTTAATTTACACTAGGTGTATATACACATATACTAATTTATTGATTTACAAATTTATTTAATATATAAATTGTAAATAAAAATTAGTATAGTTTAAGGTTAGGGTGAGGATAGCTTTAGGATTAGAGAAAATTATAGTTTATACTAAAATTTTACATGAAATCTTTTTTGTTAGAACCCTGAAGTGGATTTTATAATCAAATTTTGAGATATCAATATATGTGTGTATATATACCTGGTGTACAAATAGTAATCGTCTTATAATAATAGCTATAAAAACAAATTTTAAGTATATTTACTATCTGAGTGAGTTTTTTATATTTTTTATATATAAAATTTTTTGAAAATAAAATTAAAATTAGGTTACCAAGTCATTTTCAAAAATTTTATATTATGAGAACCAATTTATAGTCTAACAATTAAAACATAGACAAAAATTAGATAATTTCAATTTATTAAGAGGCTATACCCCCTCTTTTGAGTTTAATACATTTGAAAGCAATTATTAATTCGCAGTTCTTCCATTCGTATTTATAAATGGTCCCCCTCTTTTCTAACTGGTTAAAAATTAACTAATCAAATTTATATAACCTGATTAACCAAACCTCCCCCTCTAAAATCAGTTCCCCCAAGTTTCTGATCTGGCCAATCAGAATGCAAAATCAGGTGTAACGTGAAAATCAAAACAACAATCGAAAAAAAGCGAAAAGTCACATTTATTTCTAAAAAATCACCTTTTGGGCACTAACAAAAAAAATTACTTGCAAAATTTTAGTACAAGGTTGTCCACTAACGCTAACCCCAAACCCTAACTTAGGTGTCACGTTTTAAATAGAAAGTGATATGTAAATTGGTGCGAATAATCCCAGCCAATAGAAACTTGGGGGGAAATTAGTAAATGCGCGCTAGACTACATATTCATAGAATAACTTTTGCAAAAGTTTTTTTAAAACTGATTGTTATTTTTAGATATTAAAAAACGCTTTTTTTTAAATAGAATCGGTTTTAGAATAAACCTTTTAGTATATTGCAGATTATTTCTATATCGCGTAAAATACCTGACTGTACTGTTACGTTATAATATGTAGAATCGCATCATTACACAAACGCGAATAAATTTAATAATTCACTTTTTTTCATAGAATAAATTTAATTCACTTTTTTCATATCGATATCTTAAAAAAAAACATGTCAGATACATCAGAAATTCCACCAAAAATCAAATTAATACTTCGTCAAGATTGGTCATCGCTTAATTCAAAACTTCCAAAATTACTTGAAATTTTAACAAAAGAACTTGGTTCTTCAGAATGTTGGCACAAAAAATCAACATTCTTTGATCATTTGTTTCATGTTTATCAAATTTTAACAATTTGGAATCAACCTCAATATTTAATAGATTGTGGTTTATTCCATTCTGCTTATTCAAATTCATACGTGAATTTAGCAATCTTCAAATTAAATGATGGTGAACGTAAAAGGCTTCAAGCATTAATAGGTGAAGAAGCTGAAAAGCTTGCACATTTATTTTGTATTATTCCAAGACATGATTTAATCTATAACAAAATCTTTGGTCAATTAAAATCCAAGGAAATTGATGATGAAAAATTAAAAATCGTTATACCAGATGAAGGAATTATAGTTCGAAATATTAATAATGATGAACCAATACTTTTAAACAAATTTACTATAGCAATTTTTTTAATTTTTACAATGGCAGATTTTTCTGATCAATTATTTAGCTGGCAAGATGAATTGTTTGAAAATTATGACGGCCAATTATTATATCAAACTTCAAATGAATTTAATTTTTCATTATGGCCTGGTGATTGTAAACCTGGTCTTTGGTTGGCTGGCTTATCTAGAATAGGCAAAATAGTAAGATGGTGCCTCAAAGATTTCAAACCTGAATTGATTCCTCCGGTGTTTGATAACTGCACGGTTGAGCTTGATCCTTCGGATTTGATTAAATCAAGAGATTTGTACTGGGATATTGTTACGAATCATCATAACTTATATAACGTCGAAGCTATACCAGAAATAGAGAGGAAATTGAAAGAATGTATTAAGCTTAACCCTTTTGTCGGAGAACCTCATGTGTTACTAGCGCAAATTTATATGAGGTTGGAGAAATACGAAGAGGCAGAGCAAGAAGGATTAAAAGCTTTAAAATTTTTTTTCGATTGGGGAACTTGTTGGGATAAGAGAATGAATTGGGATGTTTGGATAGCTTACATTAGAGTTATTATCGAATGTGCCAGAAAAAAAGAATGGATTAAAGGCGCATTTGGTGCTGTAAAGCTAGGATTGGTGTCCGGTCTTTGAAATTTATTTTATTTTATTTTTTTTTATTGATAAAATATTTTATTATGCAAATTGGAGGGATTTTTTCTTTTTTGGAAAGGAAACAATTATTTAAATTGTTCGGATTGTCTAATGCTACTATATTATACATTAAGATCTATGAAATTAATAAATACATTGCTTTGTAGTTTGAAATTTGAACGATAAGGGTTTACTTTACTTAAAAAAAGGGTTGATACAAAGTATTAGTTGTTATATCCTATCCCATTTGTGCTCACGATTCTTAAGATACTCATTTTCTTTTCTTTTTTGATCTTCTCTCGATTTTTCGTACTCTATGGATTGTTCGTTTGTTTCTGCCAATTCTTGGGATGTTGGGAAGCCAACTCTCCAGAAGCCAGGAGGAGTAGGCGCTCGACTATACCTTGCACGATGTTTAGAAGTATAATGTAATCGAGCTTCCATTAGTAACTCTGCGCTCTGTACTTGATTTGTATGGCCACAACGATTTAATCCAGTAGCATCGGGAATTGGCATTGGACCTGTTATTTCATAATACTGAAATCAAATATTAATTATAAGAAAAGATAGTATCACGAAAAAATATATGTGTGATAATCAAACATGATCACTTACTCGACGACAATCACGGCAATCTTCACCCTGTAACTGCCGACGCTCGCTCTGTTTTCGTACAGTCTCATTATACCTAATGTTAGTTTCTGATAAATTAGGACTGACAGTGGAACGGTGTGACGTATTTTTATTCCTAATGTTATGTGGAGTAATTGGGGTAAGTAGCATAGGACTTTCTTCGCCATCATTACTGATTCTTTCCGAAGCAACCGGTTTATTGTTTGCATTATCATCCATGAGAGGATCACGATAGCCTTTATGTGGAGTATTAACTATATCATTGTCCAATGAGTACCGATCTTTTCCACTAGGTAAAAGTTTCCATCGTTTATGTTGTTTATTTTCCAATGGTGGAAGTGTATTAGAGTCGTCCTGTTCTTGTTTAATGACCACATCTGCAGATCTTTTTTTACTCGAAGATTGATCATCATCGTCAGTAAGAAATAAATTATCGTCATAATCATCAATATCAATTGGATGTTCGGCGTTTGTACCATCAAGCGGACGAAAGTCAACATCTTTTTGTAGCTTTAGAATTTCGGCATTATCTTGATCTAGATTTGTTTGATCTGTCACGCTTGAACTGCTTTCACAAGATAAAGCTTTGTTCGCATTCGAATCCGATATTTTTTGATTATTATTCCATAATTCAGTGGAATCTTGAACATATTGATGATCAGATTGAGATTTTTCACCTAAAGAGTTTAACGATAGGTTTGAAGACAATATGTCAGATTGATATTGAGTGTCACTATCATGAAGACTATTGCCACAATCTTTTTTATTATCAGGGGCTCGTGTTGAGGCGCTATCAATGCTTATGATGGAAACATTATTGACGTGAGTATGTGGCATATGATTTTGGACGTTTGTAACATCAGCGAGAGTACCACTTGATTTAGCTTGCGAATCGTCAGAAGTAGTAGGCGAATTATTATCCTGTTGACAAGCACATCGAGCCCGCGATTCAGCATTTGCTGCAGTTGCGCCATCAGATTTCCCTTTTCGGGCTCGTGAAAGTCTTTTGGCGTTTTCAATCCATTGTTTTGTAAGCTTCCATTCAGAGGATCTTTGCTTGTAATGGTCTTTTAAATCTTGATAATCTTTTGATTGTTGATCATATTTTTTTTGGAGTTCAGAATATTTTTCACTCCACTCTTTATTCGAATTTTCAAGTTCTTTTTGATGTTTTCTAAAAATATCACGTGAATAAGATTGTTTAGACATTATAAATACTGTTGTAACACGCATACAAAATACAAAATAATAATGATTACTTTTCCAATTCTTGGATAATTTGGGAGATGTTGTTATTACTCGCCGAGGAAGAAGATTGTTCATTAGCACATGTATTGACATCTGTTAATGCAGGGGCGGGTGAACTATATCTTAAAAAAAGAGTAATTTATTAAATAATTTAAAATTAATATCTGTGAAATTAAATATTTAATGAAATTTTTAATAATATAAATAACTTTAATTTTTTTATGAATTTATATATATTACTCATCACGATTTTCCTTTTCAACTTCCATAGCGTCAGGTTTTTTTATGTCAATATCCATATCCTCGGAGAAAATATCTTCGCTATTATCTATGTTTCGTAACGAATTTTTTTTTTTCAGAGACCATAATTGATTTTCTAAATGTTCGATACGTTGTCTAAGAGCGGAATTTTCTTGTTGTATGACTTTGTTAGCTTTAGCTTGATCGGATATGGCTTTGAAAAAATAATAATGATTACCGTCAAATTTGTTAAAATTATCAAAAAGAGAGTTAAAATGTAAATATTTTGGGTGGTGAAGTCTTTAACAAACCTTCTAATGCCTGAGCTTGACAACCGAGTATGTTTTGCACCAAAGAAGCAGGTAGATAAGCGGATGAATTAGAAGTGAATGGAGTTGACCTTTCACGACTA